GTCCAGCCAACAGCCAGCATCAATGCTCGGACATGTGAGTGATGCCACTGTGGACTCTTTGGCCCTAGTCAAGCTGGCAGAGCACAGCCGAGCCACATGGATGATTCCAGATGAGATTGGGAGCACTTACGAGGACTGTCACTCATTTTCAGCCTTTAAGTAAAGGTGGTCCTGCTTTGGACTTCTCTTTGGAGAAGGCTACAGTAGACTTTAGCAGCAGAGCTCATCATTGCTTCTGTCCCCCCTTCCATCCTCCACTATTAATCCTTCTTTGTGGTAGTGTATGTCAGTGTTGCAGAATGTCTTTAATAGGGAAGTGCATAGAGATAGGAGCTGTTTTTTAAAAAATGCCCTGCACAGCCCTTCCCATCCTCCATCTTGTTTAATGGTTAATATATGGAGGCAATATTCTCCCCAGGGTGCCTCAGCAAGTGGCAGCATGAAGATGGGAGAATTCTCGACTTTGTTGCTCTTTTCATTACACCAGGGCTTCTTGTTGTGTGTTTTTTCATTCTTGTTGAAGCTGGTATTTTTTAACTTCTTCCTGTTGGTTTGGAGCAGGGTTGGGCTATTGTTTTGGTGAAGTTTGCTCTGTGAATTTCTACTTTCCAGGGTGCTGTAAAGAAGAATGACTATAGGACCACTGTCTTGACCTTTTGTTGTTTTATTCCCGTAGACCAAGATGATGGGGCAAGAAAAGGTTGAGTTGCTTGGAACCTAGTTACCATAGATGGGATAGAGGATGGTGATGTTGGGGAGTGGAGGGGCCTGTTGCAGTTGGGGTTGGGTTTGAGAGGAACTGGGGCCTTTTTCAGAAATACCGGAAATGGGTCTCTCTTCCCTGTGACTGCTCCAGTAACATTTACTATGCTCCATAGCTTAGAGTGAGATCTTGCTAAAGGAAGAAACTTAGTCTGATGAATTAAGAAAAGGAAAGGAGCTTGGCTACTCTAACTTTGCCTACCTTTTCTTCTACATTGTATGTTTTTTATTTTGGAAAATGTGTTGAACTTTTTTTAAAACTTAGAATTAGTATTACATTCTGAGTAATTTCTAGTGCCATAACTACTTTGAGGTGTTCCTGTCTGTGCTGCCACTCTTATTTTTTATTAAGGTATCATTGATATACATTCTTATGAAGGTTTCACGTGAAAAAAAAACATTGTGGTCACTACATTCACCCATATTATCAAGTCCCCCCCACATACCCCGTTGCAGTCACTGTCCATCTGTGCTGCTGCTCTCTTGAGTGGTGAGTGCAGAGCAGATGCCTGGGATGTGAGCAGGTGCTGTGGTCGTCTGTAAGCTCACTGTGGGCAAGGCTGAGTCCTGTTGATTCTTGTGTTCCAGCCCCTTCCAGTAATGCTCCGCACAGAGCAGACCTGGCTCTTCTTCAGCTTGACCGCACGGAGCCTCTGCGAACACAGGAGCCAGTTTGGCTTCAGGCCCTGGACTTCTCAGTGTGCTTGTTCCTAGCAGAGAGGCGGGCAGGCTGTGGCAGCAAGGTGGGGGCTTTTACCTCTCCCTCCTCTGTCTGCTTCCAAGTTCTCCTCTTCCTCTTTCTCCAATTCCTCCAAATCCTCCTCCTCCTGTTTAGTTATTTTCTGTTTTCTACACTTTTTTTTTAAATTACAACCAATTTTTATTACCTATCTCAGGAAGGGAACAGACACTTAGTTCAGATTTTATGTGTTAGAAAAATTTGAGATAACAATAAAGACATATTTTAAGAAGAGAGGAGATAACTCTGTGCTAAGAATTTCTTTTGTTTTTAATTTTTTTTATTTTGGTATCATTAATATACAATTACATGAGCAACATTGTCGTTACTAGATTCCCCCCATTATCGTCCCCACCACATACCCCATTACAATCACTGTCCATCAGCGTAGTAAGATGCTATAGAATCACTACTTGTCTTCTCTGTGATATACTGCCTTCCCCGTGCCCCCCCTACATTATGTGTGCTAATTGTAATGCCCCTTATTCCCCTTCTCCCTCCCTTACCACCTGCCCCTCCCCAAGTCCCTTTCCCTTTGGCAACTGTTAGTCCATGTTTTCTGCATTTTTATATAAGGTTTTGATATATTCTTTTGCCAAGTCAAATTTTGCCTGTATTTTTGTTGGTTTGCTTTTTACTTTTCTTTTTATGATTTATTTGTAAATGCTTTCAAAATTCTTCCTTAGGGTGCAGGGAGAAGAACTCATAAACTTATTTGCTTGGGTACCTAAAAACACCTCTGAAAGAATGCAAAAGAAGCTAGTGACATTTGCTTTAGGTAGGGAAACTGGGTGCCTGGGGGGCAGGAGTGGGAAGGAGGCCTTGTACTTCTTTAAGCTGTGAATCTGGAACCGTGTGATTGTTATGAAAGCAGAGATGGAAGAAATGCTTGAAAGCATGGAAAAAGGTACAGAAACACCCAGTTTAGTTAGAAGAAGTATGAGAGAACATCATTTATCTTGCCTTTCTTTAAATTAGGAAAAAAGAAAAGAGAGACTTAGTCTACTTAATGCCTAGGAGCTTCCAGTGTCTTTCATTTTGAGGGTGTCATACATAGGAAATGTGACCTACTTTTGAGTGAGCTAATAAGCCTTTTTTGCATAATTACCTTCCAGAAGTATACACTTACTTATTGGAAATATTATGCCATTCCAACTGAATGGGAGGTTTTATATAATACGTGTTTTAAAAATCACAGTAGAGAGACTTGAATGAATGGCATCATTCCTCTCCTAGGTATGGAGACTTTGCTGTCTTCCCTGTTGCTTTCTAGCTAAGCATGAAGTCTGACATCTTTCACCAGAGTCAGAACAGAAAGAGGCCAGATGTGTAGTAGCAAGGGTTTGAAGATAGGAAAGGAAATGCAGCTTGGAAAATTACTTACCTCAGGTTCTTCATCTGTAAAATGGGAATGTTATACCTATTTTATAGTGTTGGTTGGAGAATCAGAATAGTATTTATAAATTATCTAGAATAGAACCTGACACCTTGTGTAGATGCCTAAAGATATGTTGTATTATCATCATTACTGGTTAGTGTCTGTCTTTTAGATCTGAAGGAGTGAAGGATATGAAAATCTTTTCATTGAGAATGAAAGATAGATGTTTAGGGGAAGAAGGAGTGTATTGGTTAGCTGTGTTGTGTAACAAAAATTCTGTGGTTTGGCTGGGTGGTTCTTCTGCTTGTCTCCTTAGAGTTATTTGTGTAGGTGCAGTTAAGTGATGGCTGGGACAGCTGAATGATCCCCATGGACTCACTTATGTGGCTGGCAGTCACTGCTGGATGGTGGTTGGGGCATGTTGGTTCTCCTCCATGTGGCCTCTTATGTTCTAGGAGGCTGGTTCAGCTTCCTTACATCATGTTGGCCCCAGGGCAGTGTGCTAAGAGGGTAGGCTCCAGGCTTGCCTGTCAGGTACGTGCTTGCTTTTGCAGTTGCTGATTTCCACCAGCTAGAGCAACCACCCACCACTAGCCCAACCACCAGGTACCTGACAGGCAAGCCTGGAGCCTACCCTCTTAGCACACTGCCCTTGGACCACCATGCTGTAAGGAAGCCCAGAAAGAAAGTTTCTTTTGGTTTCTCCTGTTTTTCTGAAGAATGTATCACTGATCACCTTCTTCAGTCCGACATACGAGCTGATTAAGAAGCCGGGGATATTTTGTTTGGACTAAGATTTCTAATGAAGGGTATTAGCTGCTTTTATGTATTTGAAGTTCTTTCTTGTGAAGGGGGGGACTAGTCTTAGGTTGTGGAAATGCCTGGAAAGCAGCTATCTCCTCCACATAGGGGAGGATTACCATATGAGACAGTCTTACTGAATGCTGGCCTGCCTGCAGTCCCCTGTGTTGGTAGAAGTAAAGTAGAAGATGGGTAATAATGTGCCAGGGGCTTTGAAGGAGGGTTTTCTTCTTTGAGTGACTCGACTTACATGTTTCCTCTTCCTTGGTTCTAGAGGAAATGAGCCTGGAAAGAGTATTGTGCTCTTAATGCTGTGAGCAGGGCTGGGTACTTGATCCTAGAAAGGGAAAGAGTCACTGTGCTCAGATTGGAGGACTTACCTGTGTGGAATTTAAATTTTACTTGGTTTGTAAGTTCCGATTTGCCTGCTAGAGCCCCTGAGAGTGAGCATTTACTTCGGTGTGAAGCACATTTCTGCTTAGAGCTGCAGTGTCAGGGAGGGCTGCCTCTTGAAGATAGGCTTTCCATGGGTCTTCTCAGGTTAGAATGCAAGAAATTAAGAGAAGAAATTGAAGAAATAAAGGTGTGTGTTCCAACAGTTACAGAGTAAACTGGTCAGCTTGTTCCATTTGCCTAATGAAAATGGTTTTAGTACTTTTCCCATAGCATGTATTTTGCCGTGCCCTAACATGATTTTTGAGATCTTCTGATTTTATAACAAGACACCATACCCAAATGGTTTCAGGAACTGATGAGAATGTGGGCCTACTTCCTTTTCTCCCTCCATCACTCTCCTGTGCAAGAGGGAGGAGGACGTGGGGACTGCAGCGCCCCCCCTGTGGTAAAGCTGAGAGAAGGCTGCTGTAGCGGCTGCCTTTGACTTTGGGCAGTGGCGTTTCTATGGAGCCACCCATTTCTAACACTTGTCCTTATAGAAAGGCAATAAGCTACCTTCAGTGGTTTAGACACAGGTACTAGGTTTTTTGTGGTAAACACACTTAAGCCACAAATAAATATATTAGCTGAAGCAGAGCTGGCTTTCCTGACTGGTCCATTTGCAAGCTGAAAATTTGTGAAAAGCACAACCCACCAACTGTTGTTGCACAACCCATTGGCTCTTTGCTTTTGCTTTGATGTTCTTCCTGATAAAAATAATAACTGTGTTTATTCTGATATGGTTGCCAAGCGTTTATGTTTCTCACTCCACTTGTGCTTATGAGTGATTCTGCAGTGTGAACTGCTGTCTTTGATTAAATGTTTCATAACATTTGAGTATTGTGTTACCTGTGCTGATTGTCATTTTCTTCTCTTGCTTTTTAGAATGGACTGTTAAGTTATGAAGTATTTTGGACCAATAGTAGAACATCATTCTGCCACTCACTGCTTTATCTCCTACTAGTTATTTAAATTGGACTTTTAATATCCTACCAGCTGCTCTTCAGACACACATGGTGCATTGTTGCCATTCCCTGGATTGCATCTTTGAAGCACAGGCTCTTAGTAACCTTCAGCAAACAAAGAGGCAACCTCCTGGGCACGTTTACTGGGAGGGTGTCACCCTGACTGCCCTCTAGCTTTTGCTGGATCTGGATTTGAATTCTACCATGGAGCCTCGCATGGAGTCCTGCCTGGCACAAGTATTGCAGAAGGATGTGGGGAAACGACTGCAGGTTGGACAAGAACTTATAGACTATTTCTCAGACAAACAGAAGTCTGCTGACCTTGAACATGACCAGACCATGCTAGATAAACTTGTGGATGGACTTGCTACGTCTTGGGTGAACTCTAGCAATTACAAGGTAAGCTGTGTTGTTGAAGGCACTCTTCTACGTGGTTGGGCTGCCTTGGTGGGTCAAAATTGATCCTTAGGGAAAAAAGTCCTGTGTGAGCCATCAGCATGATTCCTCAGCTTCCAGTAAGTCACTCTGTCAGGTTGAGACTTTTAGACATTTCATGCTAGAGCAAGTAGAGTTTTCTTTGATTCTTATTGGAGGTCAAAAAATTCTTATCCTTTGTTATGTTGAGAGAAGGCAAAGTGAACAGATAAAGAGAGGCTTTTGTGTTGGAAAGTTTGCAAGCATTTGCAACCTTGAAGTCAAAGGGAATATTGTGTCTTGCAGCGAATGGGCCATGAGAAGTCAGTGAGAGGCTCTTCATGAATGACAAGTATCTTCACTGAGTTTCTTGGGGGTGGGATTGGCAATAGCATGTGAAGCGTCTTACCTGTAGGTCACTGTTTTGAAGTTGGCCCAGATACCTGGCCATAAGTAGTGTGGGTTTACCAAGGACTCTTTTGTGGCAGGTGTGTAATTGCATTGAGAACAGCTTTCAGGTTCTGAATACCTGGCTCTTCATGTGGCTTTGGAGGGTGGGGGGGCAGGGGGATCCCATGACCAAATGGGTTGTGAAGATCAACTGTTTTAACCTTTGAACAACTGAACATGAATATGAATAAAAACTGAACTGGCCTTGATGTGCTAGCTGTGCCATTCTTTCCCTGTCTGCTCTCCCACCTCCAGAAACTCTTAATGTGTTAAGAGGGTGGCACTTGGATCAAGGTGGAGATGGGAGAGTGGGGTGCATGCATGATGGCTAATAGGCACTGTAGACACTGAAGGGGGCTACAGAGACAATCTTTTGGGCTTCGTTCACTGGCCCAGTTCCTGAGAATGGGTCGGATTTGGAGACTGGTGCTTATAGGACTCTTGTGTGCTGGTATAGACTTTGTTTTTTAAACACATTAAACCTTGGTCTCGTCTCAGAGTCAACGACTTTATGTTTGCTAAGGATCCTGATGTTTTACTTAACAACTGGATATAAAATTTAGCCTATCTTTGAAAGCAAGAGTGTGAATTCTAATTCATTCATATGTTTATTAATTTAGTGGAACTCCACAAGTGCTCCTTCTGTGCTTGGCACTAGTGCTGGATGTGGAGTGTATTGCAGAGATGAGTACCTGGTCATTATATATATATATTTTTTCCATGCCAGTGGTAATAATACTTTATTTCATTTTTTTCTTTTTTTTTATTTTAGTATCATTAATCTACGATTACATGCGGAACATTATGTTTACTAGACTGCCCCCATCACCAAAGACCCCCCCACAAACCCCATTACAGTTATTGTCCATCAGCATGGCAAGATGCTGTAGAATCACTACTTGTCTTCTCTGTGTTGCACAGCCCTCCCCGTGACCCCCCGACATTACAAATTCTAATCCTTATACCCCCCCTTCTTTTTCCCACCTCTTATCCATACCTTCCCAGACGTCCTCCCCAGTCCCTTTCCCTTTAGTAACTGTTAGTCCATTCTTGGGTTCTGTGATTCCGCTGCTGTTTTGTTCCTTCAGTTTTTCCTTTGTTCTTATACTCCAAGATGAGTGAAATCATTTGGTACTTGTCTTTCTCTGCCTGGCTTATTTCACTGAGCATAATACCCTCTAGCTCCATCCATGTTGTTGCAAATGGTAGGATTTGTTTTCTTCTTCTGGCTGAATAATATTCCATTTTTTATATGTACCACATCTTCTTTATCCATTCACCTTCTGATGGACACTTAGGTTGCTTCCATTTCTTGGCTATTGTAAATAGTGCTGCAATAAACATAGGGGTGCATCTGTCTTTTTCAAACTGGGCTGATGCATTAGGGTAAATTTCTAGAAGTGGAATTCCTGGGTCTAACAGTATTTCTATTTTGAGCTTTTTGAGGAACCTCCATACTGCTTTCCACAATGGTTGAACTAATTCATATTCCCACCAGCAGTGGAGGAGGGATCCCCCTTCTCCAGAACCTCGCCAACATTTGTTTTGTTGTTTGTCTTTTGGATGGTGGTGATCCTTACTGGTCTGAGGTGATATTCTCATTGTGGTTTTAATTTGCATTTCTCTGATGATTAGTGATGTGGAGCATCCTTTCATTTGCCTGTTGGCCACCAGAATTTCTTCTTTGGAGAAGTGTCTGTTCAGCTCCTATGCCATTTTTTAATTGGATTATTTGCTTTTTGTTTGTTGAGGTGCGTGAGCTCTTTATATATTTTGGTTGCCAACCCTTTATTGGATCTGTCATTTATGAATATATTCTCCCATGCTGAAGGCTGCCCTTTTGTTCTATTGGTGGTGTCCTTTGCTGTACAGAAGCTTTTCAGCTTGATATAGTCCCACTTGTTCATTTTAGTTTTTGTTTCCCTTGCCCGGGGAGATACGTTCATGAAGTTGCTCATGTTAATGTCCAAGTAATTTTTGACTGTTTTTTTCTAAGAGTTTTATGGTTTCATGACTTACATTGAGGTCTTTGATCCATTTCAAGTTTGCTTTTGTGTATGGGGATAGACAGTGATCCACTTTCATTCTCTTGCATGTAGCTGTCCAGTTTTGCCAACACCAGCTGTTGAAGAGGCTGTCTTTTCCCCATTGTATGTCCATGGCTCCTTTATCATATATTAATTGACCATATATGTTTGGGTTAATGTCTGGAGACTCTATTCTTTCCAGTGGTCTGTTGGTCTGTTCTTGTGTCAATACCACATTGTCTTGATTACTGTGGCTTTGTAGTAGAGCTTGAAGTGGGGGAGTGAGATCCTCCCCACTTTATTCTTCCTTCTCAGGATTCCTTTGGCTATTCAGGGTCTTTTGTGGTTCCATATGAATTTTAGAATTATTTGTTCCAGTTCATTGAAGAATGCTGTCAGTATTTTGATAGGGATTGCATTGAATCTGTAGATTGTTTTAGGCAGGATGGCCATTTTGACCATATTAATTCTCCCTAGCCAAGAGCATGGGATAAGTTTCCACTTGTTAGTGTCCTCTTTAATTTCTCTTAAGAGTGTCCTGTAGTTTTCAGGGTATAGGTCTTTCATTTACCTGGTTAGGTTTATTCCTAGGTTTTTTGTTTTTTTTGATGCAATTGTGAATGGAATTGTTTCCCTGATTTCTCTTGCTGCTAGTTCATCATTAGTGTATAGGAAAGCAACAGATTTCTGTGTATTAATTTTGTATCCTGCAACTTTGCTGAATTCAGATATTTGTTCTAGTGGTTTTGGAGTGGAGTCTTTAGGGTGTTTTATGTACAATATCATGTCATCTGCAAATAGTGACAGTTTGACTTCTTCTTTCCCAGGCTGGATTCCTTGTATTTCTTTGTTTTGTCTGATTGCTGTGGCTAAGACCTCCAGTACTATGTTGAATAACAGTGGGAGAGTGGCATTCCTGTCTTGTTCCCGATCTTAGAGGAAAAGCTTTCAGCTTCTCGCTGTTCAGTATGATGTTAGCTGTGGGTTTATCATATATGGCCTTTATTATGTTGAGGTACTTGCCATCTATACCCATTCTGTTGAGAGTTTTTATTATGAATGGATGTTGAATTTTGTCCGATGCTTTTTCCATATCTATGGAGATGATCATGTGGTTTTTGTCCTTTTTGTTGATTTTGGCAGATGATGTTGATGGATTTTTGAATGTTGTACCATCCTTGCATCCCTGAGATGAATCCCACTTGGTCATGGTGTATGATCCTCTTGATGTGCTTTTGAATTCCGTTTGCTAGTATTTTGTTGAGTATTTTTGCATCAATGTCCATCAGGGATATTGGTCTGTAATTTTCTTTTTTTGTCTGGTCTTTGCCTGGTTTTGTATTAGAGTGGTGCTGGCTTCATACAATGAGTCTGGAAGTATTCCCTCCTCTTCTATTTTTTGGAAGACTTTAAGGAGAATGGGTATTATGTCTTCTCTGTATGTCTGATAAAATTCAGCGGTAAATCCATCTGGCCTGGAAGTTTTGCTCTTGGTTAGTTTTTTGATTTCTGCTTCAATTTCGTTGCTGGTAATTGGTCTGTTTAGAGTTTCTGTTTCTTCTTTGGTCAGTCTTGGAAGGTTGTATTTTTCTAGGAAGTTGTCCATTTCTTCCAGGTTTTCCAGCTTGTTAGCATATAGTTTTTTGTAGTATTCTCTAATAATTCTTTGTATTTCTGTGGAGCCCATCGTGATTTTTCCTTTCTCATTTCTGTTTCTGTTGATGTGGGTATTCTCTTTTTCTCTTGATAAGTCTTGCTAGGGGCTTATCTATTTTGTTTATTTTCTCAAAGAACCAGCTCTTGGTTTCATTTATTTTTTTCTATTGTCTCAATTTTATTTATTTCTTCTCTGATCTTTATTTATGTCCCTCCTTCTGCTGACTTTGGGCATCATTTGTTCTTCTTTTTCTGATTTCAATAATTGTGACTTTAGGCTATTCATTTGGGACTGTTCTTCCTTATTTAAATAGGCCTGGATTGCTATGTACTTTCCTCTTAGAACTCGTTTTGCTGTGTGCCACCAGAAGTTGGGGCTTTGTACTGTTGTTGTCATTTGTCTCCATATATTGCTGGATCTCTATTTGAATTTGGTAATTAACCCATTGATTATTTAGGATTATGTTGTTAAGCTTTCATTATTTGTGAGCCTTTTTGCTTTCTTTGTACAATTTATTTCTAGTTTTATACCTTTGTGGTCTGAGAAGTTGGTTGGTAGAATTTCAATCTTTTGGAACTTACTGAGGCTCTTTTTGTGGCCTAGTATGTGGTCTATTCTGGAAAATGTTCCATGCGCACTTGAGAAGAATGTGTACCCTGCTGCTTTTGGGTGTAGAGTTCTGTAGATGTGTATTAGGTCCATCTGTTCTAGTGTGTTGTTCAGTGCCTCTGTGTGCTTACTTATTTTCTGTCTGGTGGATCTGTCCTTTGAAGTGAGTTGTGTGTTTAAGTCTCCTAAAATGAGTGCATTGCATTCTATTTCCCCCTTTAGTTCTGTTAGTATTTGTTTCA